AAGGCCTGGCACGATATGGTTCATGGGGTCACAAAGAGTCAGACATGACTTAACGACTGAACAACAACAAAAAAGTTTCAGTAATGCCTGCCCCATCATATTTGACTTCCTGAGTCCACATCTCTAGTTCTCCTTTTTTCTCTCCCAGACTCTGCACAAATATAGAAACATTTGAAGTTTTGAGTGCCACCCACTGGCATCTCTGTTGCAATGTCCCCCGTCCTGACCTCATACTCCTCCAGCTTTCTTGGGTCCAGCCTGTGACTGCATATTTAGTTCTGAGTTTTGCCATCCTCCCCCTTTTGTTCTAGTTTAATGCCCTCCTGATGAGATTGGCAAGGCACTTGACAAAACCTCCTTCCCAGTTTTTGTAAGAGATATCCCATCTCTTCCTAGAAATCCTTTGTGAGGATAGTGTAGTCCATTATGGTAGGGTCCAAACCCTTCTTAGCACCATCATTTCTGTGTCCAGTTGATTTCCAAGATTTCTCTTCTTGTGTCATGGCCCTCAGATGGAAGGACTGATTTAAAAAACTACTTGTTCCCAGTTCCTTCACTTTCCTATCTGAGATGTCATAGTCTCCAGAGATTCTGTCAGGATCTCTCCTGGCTGCATCATTCATCCCTGTGTGGATCAAGAAGAAAGATTGTATGTTGGTGGGTTTGAATAGCCTTGGTCACCTTTCCACCACATTCTGTTTATTTATTTAAAAGATTTATCTGGCCACCCATCTTGCGACACACGACTCTGAAAGGCTAACAACAATGATTAAATCACAAACAATAAAACAAGAAATCAAGAAAAGCCAGGTGCCCAATCATCTATATCTGTTCATCTATGCAATCCCCATGCTCCAGCCTTACTACCCCAACCCCTCAAATACTATGAGTATCTGGAAGTTAACATACCTCCCACAATACAACTGCCTCAACTCCTTAACAGGGAATCACCCAGCATCAAGTGCATTTCTTCTGTCTCAGGTGGCTCTTGGATCTTTTCAATCCATGGGAGCCCATGTTTCTTTTACTATGTTCTCTGATACAGTTTGCTCGAATGGCTGTCAGTCATCTAGAAGGAGTCTCTCTACTGGTTCCTGAGTTCCACTAGCACTGACTGCCTCCTGATCTTGTTTCTTTGGATTATATTCTTCCATGTGTTTGCCTCTGCCATAGGCCTTTCTCCCACTCTTTGGTGTCCTACTCACTCCTCTGTCCCTGCTGGAGAGCTTCTTGTAGCCTCTTTTCTGCTGTTACTTCCTTCATGATTCAGTTTTATCCACTTATAAAGGCATTTAAGTCAGGGGCTCTTACACAGTTTTGTGGCATTGTAACGGTCAGTCCACAGATTGATGAGCAATCAGGAAAGAGTATTATAAACAGCCACCCATAAACTCCTCTGTTACCAATGAAAGGAATCACCACCTTGCTTATTCACAAGAAAGTAGTTGATAGAAATTGAAAAAGTCTCCACTCTAGCATACTGAAGGAGAAATTGGTTCTAAATTGGGTTAGTTCAGCTACTGTAGTCTTACTCCTCTCACCTCAATAAATCCTGTTAAAGAAGACTCTGAGAATCTTGCTTTGGCAGGATTACTTTGATTGAATCAGCTGCCACAAGCCTGATGGGCTCTGAGTTCCATGCAGCATTGGAAGAAATAAATTCCTTCTTCCTATCAGAGCTCCTGGAAGAAAGGCAGGATGTAAACAAAAATAATAGGTGCACACACAATTCAGTCACATAATTTTAGCTCCTATCTACCCCCACTGCTGCCATCTTAATTTTGTTGGGCTTCACATCTGCATTTTTCCTCCTGCTTCAAGTCCTTGGTTGAGTTTTGAACAGTAGATGTGCCTTTTTCTTTTGCAGAGGAGATGGCCACATATCTCCGCTATGTGCGGCGTCTGGACTTCTTTGAAAAGCCAGATTATGACTATCTAAGGAAACTTTTCACAGACCTGTTTGACCGGAACGGCTACGTCTTTGATTATGAATATGACTGGGCTGGGAAGCCTTTAGTAAGTAGCAGCCAGGGAGGTCTCTGGGTGGAGAAAGATAAATACAGTATTATTTATACATACACACAAAGCCTTTTGGTTCAATAGAGAAAGTGAATAGAGATGCTATGGCATTTATAAGCATAAAAAAACTGATCACCCAAATATTATCAAGGAAGATGGTTGAATATCGTGTGGATTGTTATAACACTTCTTGAGAACCATCTTATTACTCTGGAAAGTAAATAAGAACAGCTCATCTAGTGGCCAAAGTTGCACTTTTCCTTAAATGTAAGAATCCTGGTGCTTCTTGTGACTTCTTAATTATGAGTAACTTATACACTGTCCACTCTCAGAGGGAAGGAACAAACATTGAGGCTGCTACTCTATATTATTGGAATGTTTGTTCCTTTTAGCAGTCTTGGGCACTTAATTGTAGAACAACAGGATAAACAAATAATCTGGCTATTTCAAGACATTGGTTTCAGTTCAAGACATTGGTTTTGGTGTGCCTCACTGAGCAACATTTGATTCTCTTTTCTGGGGGAGAGAGGCATTTGTTCCTCTAGAAGACCCCTGTGTGGGTCATATTTTAAAGCCCACTTGTCTAAATTGATGGCAGATCATTCCCCAGTCAGCTGAATGTTTTGCCCTGTTTCTTTCCTCCTTTTGTAGCCCACCCCTATTGGCACAATCCAGAGTGACGTACAAGTCCAGCCTCCAAACAGGGAGAAAGCACAGCAGTACATCAAACAGCAGGTAACTAGTTTTTGATTTATTGATCTATTTATTTCTTTTCTAGGGTTGGAATGTGATTGGCTGAATAGCTGAATGAGAATCAGGCTGCAGTGTTAGCTTGTGCAGCAAAGGTACAAGGTACTCTGACCAGAGAGGCCCACAGGGTTGCCAGTTTAGAGGTGGAAATGGAGGCTTGGTGCCACCTGGTGGACAGAGCCATAGGTATCTTTGTCTCCTGGAAGTGCTGCTAAACAAGGAAATGGATGGCTTGATGTGAAGATGCCTGATCTTGATCCAGAATAATGGTCCATTCAGCTGATAATGCTTGGGATAGATGGTATGGTTCTCTCCTTAGGTTTTGGACTTCAACTTCCATGAGTCCTAGCTAGCATGACTGGCAGCAAGCTATCATGGGAATTGTAGTTCAAAACATCTGCAGGGCTATCTCTGGGTAGCAGGGCCATTTCCCATCCTGCTACCTTTAACTGGAGATGCCAAGAGTGGAACTCAGGACCTTCTGCATAAAGGCAGATGCTGTATCATTTTGCTATGGGCCCCCATGCCGCTGCCTTTCTCGATTGGTCTAGTTGTCTGCCTTGACTGGTAAAATCTCCTGCAGAGTTGTGTCACCAAAAAATATTTTGAATGAAAATACATGAAACCTTTTCCATAGGAAAAAAATTATCCACTAGTAATGGGATAGGCAGCTTATGAGCTGTGTGTGCCCTTGAAGCCCCAGGTGAAGAACCTGTCTATCTCTGTATTAACCTTAGTTTCTTCTCCAAGGACTCCTGAGCTGGGTTTGCACAACATGTTCAACCTAGTCTGCTATAGCCATAGTAACAGTGTCTGAGCCACCATTTTGGAAATGAGGAGTCCCCACTCAGTTCTTCTAGTCCTGGTGGTGGCTCTTGTGCCAGGAGAATACTGGCAAGACTTGATTATGTCAAGATCCCTTCACCATTGGCCAGGCAGACAGCAGTGTGTACATGGCTTGTTCATTATAGAGGTTCAGTGTTTGGAAAGCTGCTTCTATGACTTCCAGGGTGCAGTAATGAGTTCCATAATGGAGAGCACTGTTTGTTTTTTCAGCCACTCTATATCACCAACTCTTTTTCTTGGAGGACTTACTGGGCTGGGCTTAGACACTGCCTTGGAATTTATTGAATTTGGCATTTGCAGAGCATGGCTGATAGGCAGAATGTAGTTTAACCCACAATTAACCACATGCTGTTTTGAACTAAAACTGCCCCTCTCTCATCCCACTACTGATTGGGGTTTCTTGTTTTTTTACTTGATTAAGTGTGTCATCTGAATGCAACCAGGATGTTATACAGGATCCTAGAGGAGAGATATTTGCAATCAGGACACATAAACAGAAGACCAAGCAAGGAAAGGGGAGTTGGGATGGGGAAGGGTGATTTGTCTGCCTGTTGCAAAAGTGGTGGATATCACACATGGCCTTAAAGTTCTTATGGGCTAGAGCCAAGTCTGGGCCTACCTACCCACCAACCATGAATACTAACACTACCTTTCTTGTAAGTCAGAGTAACAGAATCTTGCAAGCCTGAAAGAACATCTCTTCCCCCTCGCTTTTACAGTCTAAGAAACTAGGGAGGGTCCCTTCTGAGATGTTTGCCACGCCCCCATTCCTTCTGCGGACTCAACTGCCTGTTGTCTGGCCATTGCCTAGTCTGTGGCTCCTCCTCCTCCTACAGGTAGTCCTCATTTAGCAACTGCCTCATTTAACAATCATCTGCAGTTATAACGGTGATGAAAAAGTAACGTCACAACCAGTCCTTGCATTTACAACCTTCGCAGGTCTGTAAAGCAAAGGAGAATTGAAGTCAGATCATGAACACAGCTGCAGTTTCTCTTAGCAACTGCTTTGTTTAACCGAGTTGCCAGTCCCAATTTGGTCACTGAACAAGGACTACCTGTACCTCAGGATAAACTGTCCTATAGGTGCTTGGATGCCAAGCCATATTCAGCTTTAAAGGTGTTAATCACCATCACTTTGAATTGGACCCAAAGCAAAGTAGGAACCATCGCAGCAACTGCAGCACTGCTAAATCTGATAATCCATTTTATACTAACTGAAAACTCCCAGCTGTCTTCGGAGGCAGAACATGTTATTGTAGTTTAATTGTATGGTAGACATTTTTTTAAAAAAAATTAAGCACATAGAAGAAGAAGCCCTGATGATAGACAGACAGCATGGATTCTGCAAGGCTAAATCTTGGCTCAGCAGCCATTTTGAGTATTTGAGAGTGTCAGCTGGTAAGTGGAGGAGGTGACCCTGGCCATATTATATATTTGGATTTTCAAAGATCTTTTGACAAAGTTTTTCATCAGAGGTTCTTTAATAAATTCAATGATTGTGGAATAATAGCTCTCCTTTTATGGATTGCTAACTGGTTCAAAATCAAAGAGCAGAACATAGGAATAAATGGGACCTTTTCTTTAATGGAGGGGAGTAAGAAAAATCTCTGTTGGAACTCGCTTTTTAAACTTGTCCATAAATTATCGTGATGTGGGAATAAACAGTGCGCTAACCAAGTTTGCAGATGGTAGCATGCTATTCAGAGTGGTAAACTTTTTTATTGTGAGAAGTTCCAGAAGGATTTCTGTGAATTGGGTGAACGGTCAGACAGTGGTTCAGTTTAAGTAAACGTAAAGTGATGCACATTGGGAAAATTAAAAAAAACTAACTTCATGTATCCAGTGATACAGGATGAGCTTCTGTAACTAATAAAAAAAAAATCTTGCAGTCATAATGGAGTGTTAAATGAAGGTGTCAACTCAGTGTGTCATAACTATGAAAAAGGCAAATTCAGTGCTAGGCATCATTAGGAAAGGATTGAAAACAAAGCTGGTAACGTTGCAATGCCCTTGCATAGATCCATAGATTCATCTGCATTTGGAATGATGGGTACAGCTCTAGTCACCACAAAAGATAAAATAGAGCAGGACAAAGTGCAGAATAAGGCACCCAAAATGACTGGGGGACTTGAATACCTTTCTTATGAGAAAAGCCAAAATATTTGGGAACCTTTCGCTTAGAAAAAAGGGGTAGGGTGGAGACGTCTAAAATCACGCACGGCCTAAAGAAAGAGAAATTTCTCTCACTCTCAAAACATTAGGAACACACAAGGGGCTACACAATGAAGTGGTTAGAAAATATTTTAAAACAGGCAGGAGGAGGCACTTCTTCACATACAGTGGGGCAAAAAAGTATTTAGTCAGCCACCAATTGTGCAAGTTCTCCCACTTAAAAAGATGAGAGGCCTGTAATTTCCATCATAGGTATACCTCAACTATGAGAGACAAAATGAGAAAAAAAATCCAGAAAATCACATTACCTATGATGAAAATTACAGGCCTCTCTCAGATTATCAGTGGTCTTGTATGTCTTCCATTTTCTAATTATTGCTCCCACAGTTGATTTCTTCACACCAAGCTGCTTGCCTATTGCAGATTCAGTCTTCCCAGCCGATTATCAGTGGTCTTGTATGTCTTCCATTTTCTAATTATTGCTCCCACAGTTGATTTCTTCACACCAAGCTGCTTGCCTATTGCAGATTCAGTCTTCCCAGCCGATTATCAGTGGTCTTGTATGTCTTCCATTTTCTAATTATTGCTCCCACAGTTGATTTCTTCACACCAAGCTGCTTGCCTATTGCAGATTCAGTCTTCCCAGCCGATTATCAGTGGTCTTGTATGTCTTCCATTTTCTAATTATTGCTCCCACAGTTGATTTCTTCACACCAAGCTGCTTGCCTATTGCAGATTCAGTCTTCCCAGCCGATTATCAGTGGTCTTGTATGTCTTCCATTTTCTAATTATTGCTCCCACAGTTGATTTCTTCACACCAAGCTGCTTGCCTATTGCAGATTCAGTCTTCCCAGCCGATTATCAGTGGTCTTGTATGTCTTCCATTTTCTAATTATTGCTCCCACAGTTGATTTCTTCACACCAAGCTGCTTGCCTATTGCAGATTCAGTCTTCCCAGCCGATTATCAGTGGTCTTGTATGTCTTCCATTTTCTAATTATTGCTCCCACAGTTGATTTCTTCACACCAAGCTGCTTGCCTATTGCAGATTCAGTCTTCCCAGCCGATTATCAGTGGTCTTGTATGTCTTCCATTTTCTAATTATTGCTCCCACAGTTGATTTCTTCACACCAAGCTGCTTGCCTATTGCAGATTCAGTCTTCCCAGCCCTTGCACAATTGGTGGCTGACTAAATACTTTTTTGCCCCACTGTAGTGTGTCATGAACCTGTGGAGTTCATGATCATAAAACATGATGGTGATTATTAACTTGGGGGGCTTTAGAAGGGGATTGGATAAATTCATGGTCCATCAAGGGCCAGGAGATTCCAGGTTGTGTCTGGTCTGGGGGCAGCGTGCCTCCACTTCCCAGGCACAGGGCAGCAGTGCTGGGGTAGCACGTCTCTCTCGCCTCCTTGCCATGGAGGCACCATGGATACATCTGGTTGGCTTTGGTGGCCAAACAAAACTCTGGGCTAAGGTGGGCCTTGGCCTGACCCAGCAGGGCAGTTCTTAGGTTCTTCTGTTCTGAAATAAGTGGTTGCAAACAGTGACAGGGATCTTTTTTTTTTAAAACCGAAGGATTTGGGACAGGAAGCTTAAATAAAACCAGGGCTGGTGTAAGGACTGAGTCTCTCCACCTATTTTTTCTTTTTACATACTGTATGCCTTCCCTCTGGCCGCCCCTTGGAAGGGACATAGGCAGAAGAGGAGGGGGTGGGTAACCCTCCCTGACTGGTGGCAGTGGCTCAGATCCTGAGTGCAGCACCCTGGATTTTAGAGGGGGATGTTGCTCAGTGACCCCATCCACTACGTAGCAGCTGAGGGACGACTTCTTGTTTGTAGGGGCATCTGCAGTTGAGCACTGCTGGCACGCCGAAGGCATTCCCCCTCGGGGAGCAGCTGACGTATGTTGTGCAAACGCAGCCATTGTAAACAAAGTGTGTGGGGGAGGGATGGAAAATACACCTGTGATGTTTTCTGAGATTGAATATTTATGGAAATCCATCGAGAAACCACAGATATGAGAAGCTGGGCAATGCGTGGGCGAATGTGCACTTGCTTGCAGACTCAGAGCTTCTGAACTGAACTGAGTAGGGAACAGAATCGGCACTCCAATGTGGATCATGCCCATTTCTCTAACTGGCAATGCTGGTTATTTTTTAGGGATGGATATATTGATTTGCATTCTAGCCTGTTTTATATTCTTTTTGCTTTTGCGTTTTTGTTTTTCCCCCTTTTCTTCACCTCTGTTCCCCTTTCCTTTGCCCTGAAAATCCCACTTCTTTCTGTCTCCCTCCCCCCATGTTTTTTTAAACTATTATTACTATGATTTTCCCCTTTGTTTCCTGCCTCCGTCATTAGCAGTCACCCGAGGGGACGGAGTTTTGGGATCCCCAGGCTGGCCAGCAGCCTGCTGAGGACACTCTAGGAACCCCCTTGGCAGCCAGCAGGCTTGGGGGTTCCGTTCAGGTACATGAGAGGGACGAGGCGGGAGGTGGGAGGCGGCGTGGGTGACCCAGCAGCTGCTGCCGGACCCCATCCATGCAGTGGAAGCGTTCCAAGCTTTTTCCCCTTGACCCTCTGTGTGTCCAGCCACCCTTGCACCAGTTTGCTTTTAAGTCCTGTTTTGATGGCATTAGGGCTGTTTCAGAAGCCCTGCCTTGGGCACCGTGAAATGTGTAGTTTTCCTTTCTCCCATTTGCTCATCCTGCTTGGCTCCCAAAGGATGTGTGAGAAGAGCAAAGAAAATTCCTCTCTTTGAAACGATGCTTGTAAGAAATCAGGTCTGTTACAGGTTGGCCTCAGGCCGCATTTAAACTTTTAATGATGTGAAGCAAAGGAAAAAGAAGAAATTAACAACAACTTGGGAGTCCAAATATATAAGCATATTTGTAAACTTAAGAAAATGTGAAAGCCATACTCAGTCTTCTTAAAAGCCACTTGTAGAAATGAAGATAATCCATTAGCAAAATCTTGGTAAATATAGGTAGGAATAGAAACCATGCTTAAAGCTGAGATGTGTTCCTGTGTGTGTGTGTGTCTGCCACTTCAATGCAGAAGATGCTAGTTCCACCATGAGAGTATCTAGGAAAAAATGTATGCATATATATAGAAAACACCAGTATGTGTTCCTCTGTGTTTGCCTGTCATTGCTGTGCAAGGCCGATCTGCCTGCTTTTGGAGACACAAAAAATCTGCACCAGGACAATGAAAGAAACCTAAATTCCTGGATTTGCAGGTGTTCATCACATTCTGTTTGGTTTCATTTGGGTTTTGCTGATCCAGAAATCTGCACAGAGGCCCATCCCAGGAGTCTGGAATTCTACAACTTGAGAATCCCATCTGGGCTACTGAATTTAATATTTGTTTTAATCTAATTTGCACCTTAATGTTCAAGGTTTGCTTATAGCAAGATTTAATGTATGCTTTATGTCTCCTCGGTAAAGCTTTTTGGCATATAGTACCAGCAACAGGTAATTAAATATTTGGGCAACATGCTGAGTGCAGGAATCCTTCCCCTTATTCAGGTGCTCTTTCCAGTTTGTAAATTTGCTTGCAGGACTCTTCCACCTCCATGAGGACTAGACACATTAAAATAATAATGATACTAGTAATATTAATAATAAGGTAAGCCTGACAAAATTAAAATAGTTGATACAAGTCTAGCAATAAACTCTCACAGTGGATAAACTTTAAATGCTGGGATTCTCAAATCAGCAGCATCTGTATGATTCTGCCAACATGGGATAGAAAATTTGCCTAATCACATCTGTGCGGGATTTCTAGCTGTCCTGGCTAAGTATATTCCTTAAAGTGCCAGCCTGTGGAAAGAAGCTTCTGCCTTTTCTGTGTCTTTGTCCCTGCCTCCCCCTTCCATCTCTGCCTCCCCCAAGCTCTTGTATGCACTGCTTTCCCATTCTACGCACATCTGTGACCGGCACCAGCCATTGCTAATGCAAGCGTGTCAACCCTCATAAGCCAGCAATTGAAACCATACATTGAACTGGGTCTGCATACACAGTAGTGAGTGTAACTGGTTTGCATTGGTGCAGCTGTAAGGTAAAACCTTGGTTTGGGCCAGGGAGGAAGGGAGCATTTTGTTTAGGAAAGAACCATTATTTCTGAATCTCCTGAATATGAAATGACACTGTGCAGGAAAACAGCTTTAGCCCTAATACCACTGCAGCTTTTCAAAATTTTAGGATCTCCCTGCCCGCTTGATAAAGATGCTCAACCTCACCCAAGAATGTATTCCTTTATTTTAGATTTTTTCTTACGTAGCCAGATACTGTGCATCCAAAGACAGTTTAGTTTTCATTTGGAGGCAGGTTTTTATTGGATGGAATTTCACATCTCATCTGAAAGTTTGCCTCGTTTTCTTTGAAAGCCTGGCCGGAATCATAAGAGGATGCAAGCACACGCCCCTTCCTGTGGCTGCTTTCTGCAGGGAGCAGAACAAGACAAGAAGCGGAGCAAAGTTTTGATTTATACATTAGTAGCATGAGGCCAGAGCGCGTCTGAGGCCTGCCTTGCCTCTCCAGTCTTCCCCCCTTTGTGGTGCTGCTACAGAGGCAGATATGCTAAGCGCCTCTACCTGGACACCTGCCCGAAGTTCTTGGCTGCTTACCTGCTTGCTCTCTTTTAGGTCATGAGTTCTACCAATGGGGAGCTGAACACGGATGACCCCACTGCCGGCCACTCAAATGCCCCCATCACTGCACCTGCCGAGGTTGAGGTGGCAGACGACACAAAGTGAGTAGCTTGTTGACCTGGCCTAGTTCTGCTGGGAGCCTCTGTGGCTCGGATTAAACACTATAAAATGGAAGATAATGGGGAGGATGGTGTTTGGGAACTGCCTTGTGATTATGACAGCCTGCTGACGGCCGTGGTTCTGATACAGCGGCTGTAGTAGCTTCATGCATAACTTACTTTGACCTAAAATTTATCAGGAATCCACATTCTCAAATATCTGTTCAGAGCCCACATTCTCAGTTATCTCAAGATCTCAGATTACTACCAGTCTTCTCACAGAGTCTGTTTTAATGAATGAGGAGCGATAACTCAGTCCCAGACTAAGTTAATTGCCCCAGCCATAACCCACAAGATGTTCATTTGTATCCCAGTCTGATTTGGGGCTAAGCTGACTTCCCCTGGTCAAATAATACTTGTGTGAACTGCTGACTTAAGGGTTAGCCATCCTTCTGATGTCTGATAGAGCCAAAGGCCCCATGAAGAATGGGTTTTCTCTGGCCCTCCGTCTAACTTGGCTTTTCCCTCTCCACATACCTGTAATCATCTTCAACTTAGCCTTTCACCAGCAGAAAATGTCTCCTTTCGCTTAAGTAATAATCATATAACTTGGATATCCTTTCTCCGTAGGTGCTGCTGTTTCTTTAAGAGGAGGAAGAGGAAAACCACCCAGCGCCACAAGTGAAATATTCCTGTTGGCCAAAGCCAGGATCCTACTGGGACTGCGTTTTCCCCACCCTCCTTTCACTTCCTGGCTGAGGATAATGGATCTTGATTGAATGGAAGGGGGAACAGCTTCCCCGCCTGCTCTCCCACTCCAGTTTTATTGGTGGGTAGGGACACAAGCGGCTTTGACTCTCCTAGCAGGCACATCGGGGGCTTCCCCCATCCGTTTTTTTTTTCTTTTCCCTTCCTCCCAGGAGAAGCAAACGGAGGGGTGGGGCGGGCACTGGCAGAAACAGAAAAGCACGTTGGACTTCTTGCTCAAGTGTCCTCCTCCTCTTCCTCCTGGTCCATAGAGAAAAAAAGCATTAATATTTATGCAGCGGTTCTCCCCCCTCCCCCCCCCATTGTCAGTTTATTCGTCCTCCACCCCTCTTTGGAGCTCCTTGAATAGCTTTTGGAACAAAAACAGAAAATGGGAATCAATTCTACTTGTTTACCTTTAGAAGAAGCGAAGTGATGATTCTGAGAACAACGCCTGCACCTATTTCTTCTTCTCTGTTTGCTTCAGTCTCTCTTAATTTAAAAATTGCATTTTTGGTCCTCGTGCCGGAGCATCTCCCCACCCCTACACCCTTCCCGTTGTAGCAATGCAAATGGTCTTGCTTTGTTGTTTTGCTTTGATTTTTAAGGATGTTTCCCCCCTCCCCCCACAATGTCTGCCTGGTTGCCCTCTTTCAGTTTAATTCCCCCAGCCCTGCCAAATTACTCATTGGTGACATCCGTTAGGGGAGCTTTGCCCCCCTTCCCCAAATCACGCGAGAGGCAAAATAGATGTATCGTGCAGGGGTCGGGGAATAATTACACTTCCTCATTTCTCAGTGCACTTTCTTTTGTAGCAATACCAGCAACATCTGTGTCTTGAAAATGATCCAATTTTAGATTTATTTTTAAAATGTTAAATAAGACCTACCCACTCCCAGGTGGGGGAGAATAAGGGCAAAAGTCTTGGATCTCAGGAACGGCAACCTGCCAAACATAACCCCAAAGCCAACGTCCATTGTTAGAGAATCGTGGAGAAGAAGGGGACCTTTCATGACCAAAGTGAAACCTACATGGACAGGATCACTAGGTGAGATCGTTCCATATGGTGGCCCTCACAGCCCCTGGGGCATCGGAGGTACTTGCCAATTTTATTTGAAATAAATAGGTGGCAAGAGTTACACAAACTTCTATTTGGGTGGAGAGAGGCCCTCTGATGAAGCTTTGTGTAAGGACAATCCACTCTGTTGTTTTTGTCTGTTCTTTCTCAAAAATCCATCAGCCACTTGCACTTCCAGCTTCCCAGTTGGGTGATGGCTAACTTTGAATCAGCTCCTGCAGAAACGTCGGAATGACTGTTAGGAGGATGGAAATGAGCAAAAGGTTTAGCGGGTCTGTTACAAAAAATATCCAAGCCAAGCCAAAATCTACTTTGCTAGGGAAGGAGATGGGCTTAGAATATGGCCTGCTTCTGGCTTTCATATGGTGGGAGGAGCATGTCTACCCCTTTGCATTTCATCACTCACTTACACGTCTGCCCCAACCTTCCACTGTGCGAGACAAAGATGTGCCTGGTTACACTGCAGCCCGTACTATGTCTGTTGACTGCATAACTCCTGGATTTGCGTACACCCGTCCCTTTTGGTCCTCCCGTTGGCCAGGTCAAAACGAACAGCTGGTCTGCAGCCATCAAAGCTACGTGCATCTGAGTTGCTTCAGCATTGTGACAATAGCAGTGCGGCTTCAGTACTTCCTTACATATACTTTTACACCAGGGATAGGACAATTGGCCCTGTGTTGCTCCAAAATACTTGTCTTTCGCCCCTGTGTTGTAATTACGGCACTTGGGATGTCAGGAAGTGGCCTGCTGGGGAAGTGGCAGGGTGGGGGTAGTACTGG